ACATTCAACTCACTGATTTTTATTAAGAGACCATTACATACACTCTTTACTCGATGTTTTAAAAAATTTTGAAATCAGCAATTTACCTGGCAAATTGGGACAGCATGTGGAGAAAGTGTTCTAGTCCAAGTAAGAAACTTGGTCTCAAAATGTTTTTGACAAACTATTCCTTGCTTGAAAAGATAATTATTGTCCATAGCTAATATCTCTCCTCCGAGAGCGGAAGCCAAGTTCGGAATCGATCGGGGTGAATGTTAGGGTTAGGAAACGAATGCATTGGTATTTTATCTGCGCCTGAAACATTTGGTCAAATAGTTAAATCAAGAAAGGATTGTTTATAGAGGTTCAATCATATGTAACTGATTGGTAATACGTACGTGTTACGTTGCAATTAGGCACACAACATCTTCTCTGAGATGCCATTTTCGAGAACAACGAAATCCAAATAGTGAAGCCAATCAATAACCGATATGAAGAGCAAGGGTCAAAACGTAAAAGCAGGAGAATCGGAGTCCGGAAAAATAGCTGAAATCGTCGGAAAAACCACCAAAAATCACAAGTAAACATTAAATTCACGAAGCGTAAACAGAACAGTTTTTTTTTGTTACAGTTGTTTTTTTTTTAGATTCTTTACCCATTCTGGGTAGGCAAAGGGTACTGTGTCCATACAGCCAATTCTTTAGTTTATGATTTCAAAATAAAATCTGTAAATAATATATGCTGATAAGCTGTATTTCTTCTTTCTTGATTTTTGTTACAGTCACTGACAGCCACAGGTATAATTTTGCGTTACTGTTTAAAAATATATGAAGTTGGAGGAATACCTAATAATACTTAAAAAAGATCTGAATAACGCCATCTAGTGAAATATTACATATCTAAAATTCGTTCTGTGATGTCCATACAAATAATTGTAGTTCGAAGTGAAAAGCCCCTGGCGCACACTTCTGCGCAGAGTAATAGTACATTATGTATCTAGGGACCTAAGTGCCTAGGACCGATATTCTTTTTGCAAGTAGAGAACGTTTAAAGCACGTTTGGAGTAGAGAGGAACAATTGAAAAAAATAAAGTTTTGTTTCTCAAACGTTCCCCATAGTCCCACGAGGGGAACGTCAGGGAACGTCCCCACTGGGGAACATTTGGAGAACGGAATTTTATTATACGGGTTGAGATTGACGATATTGCCTTATGAGCTGAAGGCGAAGTTCTGAGATGTAAACGATTGTTTGCATACTACAGATTAAATATAAGGGCTTAATTGTTATGGCTGTAGGGAGGAGCTTTAATAGGCCTATTAAAAACACGGTGAAAACAGATTCTGATAATTTTTTGTTTATGACTTTATTCAAATAACTTTTTTATCACCGGTCTATAATCGGCTTAAGCTCCGCATAATACACGCATACATAGACACGTCGTGAATTTTAGGCGTTTCGATTTTATCGCAGACAGAGTTTGAAAAAGTTATGGCTGTCAACTTTCGTAATGCTCTCGCTTTGACTTAGGCGATTTAAAATCCCTTCCTTGATCGCTGTGTAATTCCAATGGGACGCCGAATCGGCACACTACTTCTTCGACGAGTCTCTGGCTACAGTCTTCGCCTCCTGGTTTGGTGTAGCAAACACTTCGACCCATTTGGTGAAACAATCTTGAACCACCACAATATAACAGTTTCCATCTTCAGTTTGTGGAAAAGGCCCAGTGACGTCAATGGCAATTCTTTCCCAAGGAGCGCAGACCTGGTAAAGTTGCATCTTCCCCTTGGATCTAGTCCGAGGCCCTTTGACCGAGGCGCAAACATTACATTTCCTACACCAGTCCTCGACATCTACTCGACAGTGCATCCAGTAGAAGCGTTCCCTTACTTTCACCAAGGTCTTCCTTATTCCCAGGTGTCCACCAGACGTACCATCGTGCACATGCCTTAAAACCTGAGACACTTTGCACCTTGGGACCACCGTTTGTAGAGTCCATTCGGTGACTCCCATTTCCGATACAGCACGTCTTCTTGTAGCAGAAGACTATCCCATTAGGCCCAGTATGCCTTCGTGATTGGGCTTGAAGCTGATATGTCACTCTATGATGGTTTCCGTCCTTCACTTTTCCCCTTCATTATTAGCTGCAGGTACTTGTCTTCCTTCTGCGCCCGAGATATTTCAGCTTTACTCCAGGATCCATCAAATTCTTGAGCCCTTATAACCTTCACTTCGTCTTTGCACTCGCATTTTAAACAGTGCTTACAATCTTCAGCACAAGGCCGCCTTGATAATGCATCAGCATTGGCATGCGTCTTTCCGCTACGGTGTTCTATTCTTGTAAACGAAGTTGAATTCTTGCAGCTGTTCGATCCATCTCGCCACTTGACCCTCAGGGTTCTTAAACTGGAGTAGCCATTTAAATGCTCATGGTCTGTACGCAGAGTGAACTCTCTTCCCAGTAAGTACTTATTGAAGTGTCGAAGGGTCTTTACAACTGCTAGCAGTTCACGTCGAGTTACAGAATAATTTCTCTCTTGCTTTTAAAGCGACTTGCTGAAGTAAGCGATAACAGCTTGTTGTCCATTTGGTTCTTGTGACAGTATTCCGCCGATTCCTGTATTACTAGCATCAGTATCCACAATGAATCTTCCCTCTCTTCGTGGATAGCTTAGGATTGGTGCAGAACAAAGTAAATCTTTTAACTTCGTGAAAGAACGCCGGCAATCTGTGTCCCAAACGAAGTTTCTCTTCTCTTCCGTGAGACAATGTAATGACCTGGCTATCTCAGAGAAGTTCTTTACAAATCTGCGGTAGTACGCACATAGGCCTGGAAAAGCTCTCACTTCAGTTTTATTTCTCGGTGTTTGCCAGGGGTGAAAACTGTGCAGGGGTGGTGTGCCACCCCTGCACAGTTTTTACCTTTTCTTGAAATTACCTTAGTCTGTATGATTATATATATTTCAAGATAAAATATATGTATATTTATGTATTCTATCCTTTACTCTAGCATCCCAAACTCAAGCCTTACATGCTTACTTCAGGGCTACGTTAATTAATGTGAATGTGGGAAATATTTATTTATTTATAATAGTTTGGCAAAAATTTGAATTGAGTTGAGTATAAGTTTTTTTTTTTGTTTGTTCCAGGTGAAAAACTGTGTTCGAGTTTTTAGTAAAACTGTGTCTGTATACTTTGTTAGAGAAGAGTACCTTTAAATTCAAGCGAGTTAAGCACTCGCAAGGTGGGTAGTAAAAAATGTTTTATTAAAATTGAACAAATGTGAGACTTGCAGAAAAAGCTTATTAAGTAACGAAAATAATTCAGTAAATCAGTGGATCACATTCAAAGAATACATTCGTAATAAAAATAAAAAAACTTTACTACCCATCCGAAAGCACAGTGCAATTATTTAGGTATATTAATATTGAGTTGAATAAATACTCAGAAAATTAACCAGAGTGCTTGGGTATTTTACAGCACCTGCTGTTGCATATAAAATCTAATTATTTATTGGACTTTATAAAATGTGTTGAACTTATGATTGATTATTTCCTGAAATTGTCATTTAAATTATGTATCTTCATTGGTGCAATGTCATTAAAAAAGTAATAAAAGGCACAGATGTTCTTAGATTAAAAAATATACAATTGCCGCATATGCAGTAAAAATCATTATTAAAATATAAGAAAAAAATTAAAAATATCCAAGTGTCATTTAATCTAATTTTAAGTATGACAATATAATTGGTATTAAAAAAATATAATTCAAATAATAAATAATTGGTAGGTAGCGGCCTTATTATAAAGCATCTTAAAAGACTGCTATCCCAAGCTATAAATCACTGGCTGTAATGTTGTAGATTTGAAGCCGTGATGACATTAAAATCGTAGTTCCGATGAAAAAAAAGTCTGTCATACTCTATATGAGAGCTTTCCTATTGGCGATATTTTTATTATGGGAGTTGTCCGTCTGATGCGTAAGCATCTAATAATCTGTGGACTGAACTTTTGAACGGATTTTACTATTGTAAAATATGTTTTTATACTATTATAAACGCTATCGAAAAGCTTCTATTTTTTAAATCAGCCAGTTATATTTTTCAGGACAAAAAAAGCCTAGGTATACCAATCTACCTAAAACGTTAAGAATAAAAACTAAATATCAATTGTTAAAACGCTGCGTCGTGTTTTTTAAGACTTTTAAAATAATAATATGTAATTTAACTAATAAATTAATATTTAAAGACATATCTGGAATGTTGGATATGGCAACATTAAGTAAATGTCAAAATATGTACTAGGTCTTTGGCGGGATTTCATCGAGTGAGGTTGATGACTTTTCTTAATTATTCTTTAACTCGTTCATAGTGGATATATAGATAATATATATAAAACTCAAAGGTGACTGACTGACATAGTTTTCTATCAACGCACAGCCCTAACCACTGGACGGATCGGTCTGAAATTTGGCATGCAGGTAGATGTTATGACGTAGGCATCCGCTAAGAAAGGATTTTGATCAATTCTACCCCCAAGGGGATAAAATAGGGAATGAAAGTTTGTATGAAACTTTGTCAATTTTAAACCGATCGGACTGAGACTTTGCATGCAGATATAAGAAGAATCATAGATTAATGTCATTGTGTATAATACAAGCCTGAGAACAAAAACTATAGTCTACACTAGCTAGTAGACCGCTAGTTGCGAAATAAAATTGGTGTGATTTTGTGTTACAACCGTTTGCAACTGAAGAATTAGTGGAATCTTTAAAATATGTTTGGGTCAATTGGACGTGAGAACTTTATTGTAGTGTTGACTACCACACAGAAGCTTATCGAAAAGGCCAACTCGATATATTACGTGCACTCCTACAATAGAAAAGTTTAGAATGAATAACACCGACATTCCAATGTAAAAAAAAACAGATTAATTATTGATTAAATTTGATTTATTTGGAAAGAAGATTTGGCTGTATGGGCATTGTACTCTTTGCCTTACCTGAAAAGGGAGATTGTTATAAAACGAAAAGTCAAAATACTATCGTAGTTTCGGAAAGATTTCATCTTGAAAATTTCAGCAGATTTTATTTGTTTAATTGAATTTGAAGCAAGGATAGAAGGAACATGGTGTGAATAGAAGTCTTAAATCAACGGTGCTTGTTTTAAGGAAAATGACAACGTAATAAAAGCTACAGTTCTATTCTGTAACATGTATTTGATATTTACATCTTGACAGAAACTGTATACACAAAGCGATTATTTTGTGTTAGTTACTGCAATAGCTTCAGAAATGTTTTCTAAAACGCTGACGAGTAAAGATAGTTTTTTGGAACAAACGAAAGCTGCCCGTGAAGAACGCGCTTTGGAAAAGAAACGAGAACAATCTGCTGTAAAAATACAAGCTTTGATTCGCGGATGGCTAGCGCGAAGAAGGTTTATTTCCCGTATTTTGTGAGTATTATAATGACTTTTAGTTCACTTATGTTAACTTATAGCTTATTAAAAATATTTCCGTATTCTTTCTTGTAAAAATTTCTTTGTAGTGTGATGTTTAAATTTATATTTTATTGTTAGGTAACAATAAAATATAAACTTATGTTACATTGCTATTTCAGAAATGAATTTGATGAGCTTCTCCCAGAGACTGCAGGTCACAGTTCCCAGGAGGAACCACCTCCCACATTAGATCTCATTCCAGCGCTAGATGTATACAAAGTAACTTGCAGGCTATTCTTAATTTTCCAACAAAAGAGAGACAGAAAAAGATTTGAAAAACTTTGTAAATATATTGTACAGAGTCTGCATTCGGAATCGGTGAAATTATCTTATGTTGGAGTATTTTTGAACAAAGAATACAGGTATGTTCAGTTTTCATTATTGATGTATTTAGCCTCCAACTCAGGCAAAAAGCTGATGAAACTCACTCTGGATAACTTCTGGTACAAAGACTGTCAATTGCCATCCAGCGTGGAGATGTTGCAAGCATAATGGGCACCTTTGCGCCAGGAACGACACAGAGCAGTATTCGAGGATATATAATTTAATTTCATTTTAGTGATTCAAATGCATTTATTTTGTAACAAATGGAAATGTAGTTAAACTTGGTATAAGAATTAAAAAAGTTATATTTAAAAATGATGAAGCTCAAATAAAGCTCAGCTCAAAAATAATATAGGGCAAGGCGTATAAAAATATAAATTAATATTGATTTAATTTCCAGCTTGCGATGGATCTCACACATAAAAGATCTCTTGTACAAATGTTGTTTATATTTGGAAGTATTAAAATTAGAATCCCCAATAGACATGCAGAGTATACTCGTCCATCTGCACACTCTAGTTGCATTGACTGCAACAAATACTTGGGCACTAACTCGGTTGAAAAACTTCGAGAAGCTGAGAGGCGGTATGATGCAGTTGTGTGCAAATATTATGGGCTCACTGTTTCATAAAGGATATTATTTAACTTTAAAGGTATATGATTTTTATTTTAATATTTAAGTAATCTCAATTTTAAATTATAATAAATAACCTTTCTTTTCAAATAAGGAACCTGAAATTATTTATTGGGTTGAATTCAGGAATGCATTGTAGTTTTAGAATTGTAAATAAATCTTTGCTTTCTTTTTGGTACAATGAATACCTGTTAGATTTTAAGTGTAAGTGGAATTGCAAAAATATTTGATATAGCTGAGAAATATACTAATCTAGCCATCCTCACACACTGGCTTGAAGCTAAATTCCGTATCTTATAAGAACCTGGAGCCTTACAACAGGAATATATCACCATCAAATGTTATTGTTATGTTCAATTTTAACAGAAATTCTGCTATGTCCTTATTTTCTTTTTAAATTTTTGTAGCTAAAAACGGAGATTAATATTTTGAATTATTTTGCAATTAAAATTTTCGGCGATCATAATATAATAATATGAAACAGGTCAAGGACAGAAGTCAAATCTTGAGTTATAATAAAATGTTAATTAGCATTAAATTTGGACTGCAGATCCCAGAAGCTTCATAGATTTTGATAGCAAATTTTTTTCAAATCTATAAGTTGAGATTATATTATTTTATTTTCAGCCTTTTACTGGTAGATTTTTATATCTAAAGAAAATTTTAGTATAAAATCTACTCAGTCCAGGTTTCCGACATGATTATTCTGCATCTTCCATCTGAAATCTGGATTGAGGGGATTTTTTTGTAGTAATATTATGAGATGTAAGATAAGATTTTAAATAAAGAACTACTTTTAAAGAAAGATTTCACTGTTTCAGTCATTACTTCTACGTGGTCTCTGCAGAGAGAAAGTGTGCTTGAAAAATATAGCATTAACAGCAATAGTAACATTATCATTGAGGCCACTTATATCTGCTCAGTTCTCAGAAAAGTTGCTTACTATGTATATAATACAGATTTTGTCGGTGCCTACACTCGTATTTCATATGAACCAAATATCTCCAGAGGTGAGTCTTAGAATAAATGGTCACTTTAAGAAGATACAAGAACTTTATATTTATTAGAGATGGGCCAACTACAGTATCTGCCCAGTAGCCAACTGATTGGTTTTGTAATTGCTCTGCTCTCTGCTTGTTCTATATATCTTAAGGAGGTGTTTGGAATATTCCGTCACTACTCGGCTTGCTCTAAATCAAGCAGTTCCGGACTGATTCATAAGTTAGACTATCTAAGATACATATACTAGGTACTGTTTAGAATTTTTTAAAGAGAGCAACATTGTTAGTTTTATTTCATTTGTATTGTACTAATTTTAATCTGCGTGTTTTGCTAAATAGTCACTGACAACAATAGATGCCGAGTAGTCATCTTTCCCGACTAGTCTGTGGCTAGTGGGCCCATCTCTAATATTTATCTTAGAAAAGTAGGAAACATTGAATTTTTTGAAGTGTACTGTTAAAGCAATGTAATCTGGCCTCGAGGAGGAAATTGTTGCTTATCAATATCCTTGGACGAGATTGTGCCCACATTCCCAATTAGAGCATGAATAGTGAATTGTTATCAATTTGCGTTATAAACAGTGCACAGTTGTTAGATACTCAAAAATAATATTAACATGCACTGTTTAATTATAATTTCATTTTAACTTTGTTTAGTTATATTCAGAGTAATTTGGGCATACAGCAAAACATTAAGAAAGTGTAGCCTACTTATGCCAAATTTCAAAGTAATTTGCTTCTGGCTTCTGATGTGTCATAATATTTTTTTACATCTTAATTTAGTTAACTTCCTTCACTAGAAAAGAACTACTGGGCTGTTTATAAAAAGGGTCAGCCATAAAGTACGTCACACGCTATGGGGAGGTAGAGGGTCGATAAAGGGTGTCATAGTGTGTCAAGGAGTGGGCTTTAGTGACGTCACATTTCAAAATAATGATTTTTTTTTAAGTTGAAAGATTGAAAAACAACTATTTGGCGCGCCTAATGGTAAGCGGCTACCATAGCCCAAATAGACCAAAAATATCCATCGCGCCGTTGCCTAACCTTTTTTTTGTCTAGAAAATACATAACTGTAACCGTTACACATGAGGAAACTTGCATGCACAGGCTCCGTAGGCTCTTCCCTGCCATTTCATCCAGCCCACAAGGCTTGATGAAATGGCAGAGCCATACCCTGTAAAAAACAGTCAATATTCCTACACCAGTCATCCAGCACGGAACCGAAGTCCCCACAATACACGCCAGCCCCTCTAGCATGGCCACAGAAACGGGATATAATAAAGCGATATATCGGCATTAACTGTCAGACTACTATGGAGTTTGATAGTAATCTGACAGTTAATGTCGATATATCGCTTTATCATATCCCGTTTCGGTAGTCATGCTAGAGGGGCAGGTGTGCAGGAGTTAAAGCGTGATCATGCGTTAACATTTCGCCGCCGCCCCCGCTAGCCGCCTTGTCGCTGACATTGTGCATAGTACTTGCCCGGCTCCGTCATACCCTTCTGCGTCAGAAAATCGATGAGGTCCGTAACGCTTTTTTACGGCTAGCCTCTGCTCTTCACTTATGGGCTCGGATGACGGTCCAATCATCTGTATTGCCTCCGTCCTTCGGCAGGTCCTGAGGCTCTTTTCTCATCGGCCGTAAGGACCTGGACGTGGAGTGCCTGAGAAGCAGGCTCCGCTCGCTTCCTTACCCTTCCAACGTCGGGCTGTTATCGCCTTTGGGAGGCGTGGGTGTTATATATTACTGTGACGTACTTTATGGATAACCCCAAAGATATAAAAGTCCAATTGCAATAAAATTCTTTCTTCTAATTTATTTCCGTATTTCCACAGTCTATAATAGCATTCCGCACGAACGGTATGTTTGACAAGTGCGTGGAGTTTCTAAGTACAGATCAGAACATGCGTATCGTGTTCAATACACTAGAAGGCAACTATGCGTTGTGTTTACTGGCCAACTTGGTACAGTTGGCACATTCTGAACGCGACCACGCGGCTCCAGATACATACTATCCGACGTTTGTGGTGAGTGACAAATTTGTGATAAATTTTGGAAGTCTCTTCAATAGGGATGATGACGTGATAAAGTAAACGAAATTCTATTTAGTCTGTCAGTTTGATTACCTATCATAAAACAATGGTCACATATTTTTTTCATTTATCAAATACCTAAATATTCACTTTCGATTCACCACGAATCGATCGCAGCGCGTCAGCGGCCAAAAAAGGAAATTTCGGTAGATCATCTGTTACTTTTTACTTGCAAAATGTACGTATCCGTGCATTTTGTGAAAAAATAAAAAGTATGTGTCTCATACTTTTTAGTTATCTACCTGATGGATGAAGATACCTTCAAAATCCCTATTAGCAAACCTCCCCTTACACAACCTTCCTCCCTATGATGCAACCTTTCACAATTTATGCTATTGATGTGATATGTTCTGTCTGTTGAAAATAGATCCGACCACACCTGATGTTAAGTACCAGTGAAGTCCAGACGCGATATCCCATCAAAGGATTGTCAGTTTGTTTACCTGTATAAATCTCAAAAAATGTACTCATCATCCTTTGACAGTTTGCCACCAATTTAATCTATCATTACTGCTGTTAAAGCATATTTTAAATACAGAAGCTATGCAATATTTCTGTATAAAGAACACGATACTGTGTTTTCTTTTTATTACACATTTTTTTTCTTTAACTTTAGTAACTCGTACCCGCCAAAACATCCGTCTCATACACCCATACTGGTTGACTTGTAGAGAATGCCTATGGCATTAAGTCCGCCATTTACTGTATTTTGGTAATAAAAGAATAAATAAATAAATATATCCATAAAACATTCAGAAAACTTTGCTTGCTATAACAGATAGAGAAGAACAAAATAAATTTATTAAAATTTTCATAAAATAATATTGGTGTCAATTCTGGCATGATTCTCCAAACTCAAAACTAAATTTAATATCATTCTCTCCCTTTCATTCTATAATGACAAGGATACACTGTTGTCAAATTAAAGTTTCGGTTTAGAGAATCATGTCAAAATCGACACCAATACAAACATCATTTTTTACAACTAGCTGACTACTTCATACCTTCTTTGAATGCCTCATTCAACGAATTAGAAATAATATGGAAGCATTACTATCTAAGGCCGTATACAGAAAGAAAGCCGATCGGCGCCGATAAGCGCCGACACGCGCTGGTCCGAATAATAAATAATTTGTATTTGAATTATTATCCTTAGATTAAATCAATCTTAAAAAAAATAGATTTACTAATAACTTTATCTTTTATTAACTAAGTGCTAAAATAATTTGTTTCGTACTTACCGAATGGTGACAACAAGTCTTTCTTCTGGAAGGATTGGTTGTTTATGCCAATGGCCCCAATTTTTCATCAAACGGTTTTTCACTAAATCCAAAATGTAATAAAATGTTTCTTGAATCATTCTTGTATGTATAAAATCTTTGTTCATCAAATTTAATTTTTTTTACAAATAAATGATGGTATTCTCCGAAACGTTTCCTTTCTCTATTTATAGGATGTATAGCTGTTTTTCGCATTTTTAAATAAATATTTTCTAACAAAACCAAATCATCGTCCGATGAGTCGGACATTTTGCTTGATCTGCTTTAATCGGCTTCCTTTATGTAGGAAGGATCGGCGCCTATAAGCGCCGATCGGCTTTCGGCTTTCTTTCTGTATACGGCCTAACAAAAGCGACTAAAACATGGTTGCAAACTCAATCAACTAAACTTTAAAACTAACGCGACACGCACACACAGACAAAACTAAATGCTTCGACAAATCAAATATCTGCAAATGGAAACAGCTGTCCATTCATTGGCTAAAATAATGTTAAATAAAAATCACAATCAATTCGATTGGCGTGTTGATCATTGTTTTTTCGCCCCTCCTACTTGATCGCAGTTTACGTGGAGCCACTTTTTAGCATAGTTCGTATTCTATATTATTTCTAATTCGTTCCTCATTGTAACCAGTCACTTTTATTTCCTTTAAAAGTCGTTATAATATAAGCTTAATTCTGATTCTCAAGTTGGTGGTGACTCGTTTCCTGGATTCGTGCCAGCAATACGTGGTCTGCAAGAAGGGCAACTTGAGCAATTGGCATCCGGTACTGGGATGGTTCTCTCAGGGGTTGGATTCGTATCTACCGCCCGCTATGACTAACCTGAGGGCCCAACTATCTCTTCTATGGGCCGCTCCATTGCTTCATAAACTACTGGCGACTCCACTTAAGGTAGGGCTATTTTATCATTTATCATCAGCAGCCTATTAATGTCCCCACTGCAAATACAGGCATTCCTTATGGATCAAGCACAGAGCACAGAGCAGCTCGAGTAAATATGTTTGTGGTCACCCATCCACTGACTGACCATTGTGAAAGTTGATTAACTTCCACGATCGCATGCCGAACGCGTTAACCAACTGCGCCATCGAGCTCCGTTAGGTAGGTAGGGTTATAATATAGAAGATGATAATTCTCTCAGATCTAGCACCCGCTATGATAAATATAAGAGTCAAACTAATGCTTCTATGGGCTGCCCCACTCAAGGTAGGGCAATAGTAAAGAAAATAGTTAATTATTTATTTTCGCCAATTCCAAAAAGTACATACATAGGTACTAAAATCAATAGAAAAAAATATTACGATTGCAGAAGTAATTTATATTGTTTAGTAGAATTCAGGATCACTCGCGTCGTTATTCCTTCCAATAGCCCGTTCTTGTGTGACCTCGTTTCCCATCCTTACTTTTTATAAACGATTGTGTGATAAAGAAAGCGCTCCATAAACTCTTTTGAACAAAGTATTATCCTAGTTTATTCTTTATTTATGTATAAGGTGGGACAACTTTGTTTTAACTTTGAATGTTTAGCTGTGCTATTGTTCTGTAGGAAATGCTAGAAGCTGGCATAACAGGGGAAGAGGGGGCCGGTCCCTCGCAGCCTTCTACGCCGGTGCAAAGCAACAACCCCGCTGCCATCATACGGCGAGCCATAGAGGCCAGGACCAACAGGTGAGTAAATCTGAAATGACCATATTCTATCTAAAGAAAAATTTACTAGAAAAAATTCCACGCAGACGCCCGCTCAGACGGGACTCGAACCCGCACCGACCGCAGTCCGGGCGGATCCACTGACTAATTATGCTACCGCAGCCCTTATGGCTGTGTCGAATTTTCTCAAGTATTTCTAAGGCCGCAAGGCAGCGCCATCTCTTCGCATTGTAGGTAACGCACAATGTCATATGACAAGCATTAAACATTTTCAAGAAGAAATTGCAGCGACAGTATGCAGCAGACATTATGCAAGGGTGTTGTTAACGAACTTTTCAGTAAATTATATGTGTGAAGTTAACCATAATTATAGGAAGTATAATTTATGGTTTAAGTTCATAAATACCTTTCAGGTGTCGAATTAGAAAGTTATACCTTGGGTAACCACCTAGGGTGTTTCTAAAACTATTGTTTACAGTCAATAGCGAAATATTTAGTAATTTGAAGTCATCGTGATTTGTCACTCTACATGCCCAGCAAGAGAATATAAATCCTGAAGTTAGACATAGTTCACTATTGACGACGACCTCCGCGGCCGAGTGGTTTGTACGCCGGGTTTAATGGTGTCGCCGACTCAAGAGGTCCCGGGTTCGGATCCCGGTGCGGGCAGATGTTTGTGTGATAAATACGAGCATTTGTACTCCGGTCATGGATGTTAAATATGTATTTCTATAGGCTAAATGGTGTTAGTGTTAAAAGTATTTTATTTTTATTTATTTATTGTTCCAGAGGCAATGCTAACAAGAATTACAGAAAACTGGGCTCTCCGGACTGCACCAAAGCGGCACTGATATGCACTATGTACCACACGGCGCTGCAAACAATGAAACAAGTCAGACTAGATATATTAACAGGTCATCAGATCATCTATACTAATCCATATAATACAGGGAGAAAAAAACAGCCCTTGCTGTTCTTCTCAGTACAGGGTCTCCCACCGTAGATTTGCGAACCGATGGCGTAGCTTTTCGACATTCACGAGTGCTTGTAACACCCTAGACTGAATAAACGATTTTGTTTTTTTTTAATATTTTAAATGCTCAAGTGTGTCCGTCTGTCTGTCTTTTACCTCTTCACGCTTAGACCGCTGAACCGATTGAGTTGAAATTTGGTATAGAGACACTCACTCCCGGGTAAGGACATAGTATTTGTATCAAAATACTCCTTTACAACAAGTTGCGCCATCTATCATAATCTATGCTCATTTGAAAGTGGTCTTTGCCTTTGTCTGTCAATTGTGTTAATAAAAAAGTAATGAAACTACTTTTTGTCTGGCCTACCTTGGTGTTGAATTACATAGGATGTAATTAAACATCAATTACATCCTATGTTAAAATATACATATTTTTTAATAAAAATAATAATAAAAACTATAATTTTTATTTTTTAAAGCATGTTACTGCTTGATGTTTAAATCTAAAGAAAATATGACTAGAAAAAATACTTTCTGTCTGGCCTACCTTGGTGTTTAGTGAGGGCTATCGCGTATGTCCGCCGCTAGAGGCGCTAGTGTAGCGTGAGGTCTCCGAAATGTGAAATGTTATTGCTTGTTGGTTGATTACGCGGGTTTATTTCTTATTAAAATAATGTTGTGAATAATTGGTAACAATTCGGCTTAATTATGGCAAATATGAGTTATGTGGCAATGAATGTCAGTTATTAAAAATTTGAGCTTAGAAAAATGATTATGTTCCCATTTTTTCCGAATAAAACGGAACTTTGCGTCACTGTGGCATGGCCTATTATGTTTAGGATATGGTTCTTTTGTGTAAAATACGATCTAAATGTAACCTTTGATTTCATGTGCGTATTAATAAACTTTAAAAGTTACAATTTAGGACCTCACTGAACAGTGGCGCCATCTGGTGAGGCAGAAAACGGTAGCCCTCATTACATAGGATGGTTTTTATCCCAGAAATCATATTTAAACGGTTAAATAGGGACGCGGAAGTTTGTATGGGAAACCATGTTTTTCCACGCAGACGAAGTCGCGGGCACCCGCTAGTAATATTTAAAAAGAATAATTATAAACAAACCTTTCCTTTTCGCACATCCTGCCAGGATAAAAGTGCGAGTGAGATAAAATGCTCTGCGTCGTTATTTTTGTTTCGTTTGACTATTGGCTTGATTGCAGTGTTAAATTACCAACTTTTTTATTCAGGGTTATGTAACCAGGACGAAATTCTGTACTCGCTGTGGCAGTTCTTATGCACGTTGGGGCCCAACTGCGGCTTGAAGGCTTTCTTAGATCTCCTAGCGGCTAACACTAAAGCTTCGGCGCCGGAATTTCAAATGCTCGTGCTCTTTGCCGACTGTATGACGCACTATGTCACGTGAGTATCATGCTTATACCCATAGAGGTATAAGAATGGAGTAGGAGAGATATAGACTCTACTACAAGTGGAAGTGTCCCTCTAATATAAAAAGAGAAAGAAGATGAGAGACCGCTAGCTTTCTCTCTCTAATCGCGAATGCGCATTGGCAACCGTAAGCGTCGTACTACATATTTCGATGTGATGCCACTGGATGCCATGCGCCACAAAAGAGAGAGATAGCTAGCGGTCTCTCATCTTCTTTCTCATTCTACTAGACGGACACTTTTAGAGCCGCCTTCCCTACTCTATTATTATCCCACACCTGCATGAGGAAGCTTCGGGTGATACTTAAATGCGCTAACTATCTTTCGTCCTTTTAATTAAGTACGCTCCTTCAGCTGCATATACAAATCTATCGACTCACACAACCTCTTTCAGCGTGATAATTATCGCCTGGCAAGCCATCAGCCAGTTTCTATAGTCACGCAACTAGATAATCCATTACGATTGAACTAATTCAAAATCGAACGCTAATTTTAGCGCTAATTTTTATTTAGCACCAAAGCCACCCGAAGCATTGTCGCGCAGGCGTGGGAGAAGCATCACACACATAAAGGCTGATTTACGCCGGGGTAACACTGTGCGGCATCGTGACATAAATAAATATATAAATATTTCCAACACTCACCAATTAGCCTAGCCCCAAAGTAAGGCTTGTGTTATGGGATGCTAGAGTAACGGATAGAATACATATACTGTACATCTATAAGTATATTTATATAGAAATACATATTAAAGATCCATGACTGGAGTACAAATGCTCGTATTCATCACACAAATCTGCCCCCACCGGTATTCGAATCCAGGACCTTTCGAGTCGGTGACACCATGAAACCCGGTGTACAAACCACTCGGCCACGTAAGTCGTCGTCGTATATAATATAGTCACATTTCTATAATATTGACAGTTTGTTTCACCCTCGGCAGGATACTGGATGACATGGAGATGTACGAGCAACAGGAGCCATTCAAGCTGCAAGACTTCGTGAACATGTCGCTGTTTCTCAACATGTTCGTCTACAAGTCTATAATGGGACAACTATTCGGTATATCAGTATTTGTATTTATTATTTATATGAGACAGGATGGTTTCAAATTATGTATAGAAATTAGCTAAGCAGTACCCCTAGCACGAACCATCATCGAATTCGAATAGTTTGCAAACCGAATTGTCAATGTAAAATTTTGTATGGAAACTTGAACAGCAGCGGCACAAAGTACGTAACGATAACTAAAAATCAGTACACATTTGACAATATCATTTCGGACTCGCAAACGATACGAATTCGATATTGTTTCATGCTAGGGGTACTGATATCCTGTAGCTGTAACTTTTTCACGTAATTTTCTGGAGTTTTTAACATTGAAAATGTTTTTTCGTTCGCTCCAGTAGGCCCCCATTTTCACTAAAAAGTGCAACTCGCCCGTGATACCCCGAAGTTTAGGGCCACGAGAACGTCTGAGGGCTCAAAAGACGCAGCATTGGAAGGGCTTTAAGAAGATGTAAAAAATATTTGGAAAAGTCAAAAGCTTTTTCGGTATTCAAAGAAAAAAAACACTTTTTTCGACCGAAAAATAATGTGTTTTGACAGAAAAGTTCGGAGATCTCGAGATCGGGGACGAATTTCAAAAATATGAAAAAAAAAGCATCTCGATATTGAAGCAAGGAACATTTTAGGACATTACATTTTTTTCGATATTGGTGCCGGTTGAGGCTGAATTTCATTTTAATAAAGAATGTCCTTGGTACTTGTTAATAAAACACACTTTTTGAACGGTATACCTGTTCAAGCACGATTTCCAGCCACCGCAGAGGCTGTGTAGGATCTAAAACGTTAGGAATAATGAAGGAAGAAAAGTAAATCAAGCTTTTTGCCCGTTCAAAAAGTGTTATATCAAATTACTAGCAACCCGCCCTCGCGTCGCTTCGGTGTGGACTACAGTTTTTGGCTCTCGGGCTTGTATTATACATTTTACGCTCAGGAACCGAAAACGCTCATTGAGAAACTTAAAAGCGCGTTGAGATCGAATAGCTTCTCAGCTACGACACTAATTTCGCTATTAGTCGGAGAGCCAGCTGTATAAAAGTCCTATGGATCAGATACATGATTTTTTTTGGGGTATAAACAATAAAGCCATAGGTCTAGAGGTCGACACCCTTGAAGTTGCTTAATTTTTTCCTCACGCAAAATTATGACGTCACTTCCGTCACGTTTTTATTTTAAGTGTAATTGTAATTTATGGAATACATCAAGAAAATGTATCTCAAACGAAAGTTTTTGATGAGTAGAATAGAAATATCAAGGGTCGACAAGTGAGTGTGATCCACCACTCGGCCCCAGTGGCGATTGGCGGGTGTTAACGGCTGCAGATGCAGAAGGGACCAACGGCTTAACTGTCATCCGAAGCATGAAGGAGCTCTATATAACAAAGTATGGATAAGCGACCCATCTAATGACTGACTATTGCGAAAGTTGGGGATAGAGTTATTTGCCTATCTGTCTATATAAAAAAATCGCTTTACTTTCACGGAATGCGCTAACCACCAGCGACATCGAGCTCCTCCTTCGGTCATGAACGACTCTCTTTATATTGCTGAAAATGGCATGAAAATCCGTTGCTTATTTTAAAAGATCGCGTAAAAATTCGTGCTACTATGTAATTATTGGTGTGCGTGAAAACATTAGAAATAGCCCTTCACTGTAGATAAATTAAGTTTTGTAAATCTTTCCCCTGTCTTTCAGATTTGAAGACGATCCAAAGCAACGAGTTATTCAGCTGCATGCACACTCTCCTATTGGTCTTGTATCGACGCGACTGCAGAAGAACATACACGCCTCCCAACCATTGGCTGGTGCGGGAAATAAGAGATTCGCAGTTCATGGCCGATCTGGAGAAGGGCAAGAAACCACAGCAGGTAAAGGGAAATATTAAGATACACACTGAAGCCTCGATGACTCAGGGCGAGATTACAAGCTACAAGCCGGCGAGTTCGCTAGCAGCTTGTAAACTCGCCCCGTGTCATCGAGTAGCAGATTGTAATAAAGCTGATGACTCGGGGCGAGATTACAAGCTACTAGCTATTGAGTTCGCTAGCAGCTTGTAAACTCGCCCCGTGTCATCGAGTAGCAAATTGTTAAAAAGCCGATGACGCGGGGCGAGATTACAAGCTACAAATATGCGATTTCGCTAGCAGCTTGTAAACTCGCCCCGTGTCATCAAATAGCAGATTGTAAAAAAGGCGATGACACGGGGTGAGATTACAAGCTACAAGCATGATGAAAAATGTTTTGGACACGTATTTTACTTATTCTACATAATCATAACATTACAGAGATATAATATTGATTTGAAATGTCGTATGACGTCACGACACAGTATAGTTGTACAAGGTCTCATCTTATTAAAGTAATGCTTGTTTAATCTCCACCGTGGTGGAGCCCTCAACCTCTTAAGTGGTGATTCTATTTTTGCGATGTTTGTGGGTTTGCTTTAAAAAATACGTCATCGAAGAAAGGAAGACATAGGAGCATAGATTAAGTAAAATTATATTTTATTTACATAGAACATTTGTATGTAAAAATCATTGCGCGTCTCCCCGTCAGTTCAGTTATCTTCGTTACTGGATTACATTTATATTAGATATATACAGGCTCTAAAAAAAAAAAAAAAAAAAACCATATGACATGCAGGCTCAGGTCACTTAAAATATTAATTTCTAAGCCATTTTAATTTACTGACGGCGCAAACCTGCATATAAAAGTAAATCAAGTTGTTTTTCATATGTGTGCATGGGGATTTTATTGTTGTTCCACCACAGTGCCTGTTCAGTGGTTAAAAATTTCTGATCCGCTTGTGATAATTTGAAGACGCGGTTGCTAAGGCCGCCATCGGTTGTCCTAGCGACGACATGCGTCGCTAGGTCTCTCTCTTTCACTGTGTCCAATCCAAGACCATCCTGTGACGCACCTATGTAACGGCGCATGCGTTATTTATCACAACAAGCAGCTGTCATATTTGTCTTTGACTTTTTTATATTTTCAGTGCACTTTTCAAGTTATTTTATTGTGTTTTTTAATTTTGTTTTAAGTTATTCTTTTTTGTGAATATATTTAAGTTTTGTGAATGCAGTCCGCGACCCAATCTAGTGATGGCACGTCGAACACGACCCGTACATGTACACAGTGCCACAAATCATTCAAATCTTTGAAAGGCCTCAAAATACACACTACAAAAATACACAGGAAATGTATTAGCCAAAATAGTTCACCTTTAGACATCCATCCCATTATTCCGAGTGGGCCTACTTATGTAGCCAACGATCCAACTCCTTTCCACACATATCTTAGCCATTTGAAAAATAGTATACCCATAGTTAAAAGAATCCCTCGAGGAGCTCGAATAACTGTTGCTACACATTTATCACAATTAATTCAGAAATGCTACATAAGTAATTGTTCTCAAGACTGGCAGAACCTATTTTTATTTTCATACAGCACACTAAATATCTTAAAAACTAATGAACTGAATTTATCCTTAACACAAAAGATCAAGAATAATTGTGCTGTAAGCTCCTTGCCTTCTCCCGCACCTCTAATCAAACACAATGCCCCTCGGAATCGCATCAAACTCATTGAAAATAAAATCTGTGACGGAGATCTCAAAGGTGCCGCTCGCCTTTTGTTCTCCAACGACGTGCTATCACCAAATACCCCTGACACCCTTCAGGCCTTACGGACAAAACATCCCCCAGCTCCAGTAAACCCATATTTTTTCGATCCACCAACAGCAGGGCAAGCATGCCTTCAAATTCAAAACAAAGATGTTACGGATGCCATTTTGTCTTTTAAACCAGGTTCGGCTGCAGGTTTGGATGGAATCTCACCCCAACATTTGAAAGACTTACATCCGGTTTCTGAAACGCATGTCAAATATTGAATTAGTTGACAGACTGTCATAATTAACTATTTGTTGAGCAACTGTGGGTTTCTGAAAAGATATTTACCGAAAAATTAACGAATCTACTGTTAAGGCAGGATTTATTTATTAGTCTGGCCACCCTAGCTAAAACCAGTCACTTTCATTCGATCATTCATGTTTTGTTTCTGTCTAACGCATAGCTTTGTCCCTATCTTTTGACAACTTATAAGTAACTTTTATTTAGAAGTCAGAAAAATAGAAGCGATTGTGTGTACCGAAAACATTGAAATTTATTTTCATTTGTAAAGTTTTTACATAATATGTCACGAAAAAACTATACGGAGCGAGAAAAGAGGGAGCTTTTAACAGTAGTGGATAAGTAAGTACCTAATAGGTACAAATCAGTTGTTCAAATCAAGCTTTCTAATCTATACAAAGAAACCGATCTGCTTTTGGTATTTAAAATTTGTAAATATATTGATAATATATATTTCAATGTAGGTACAAAGCAATAATAGAAAATAAGTCTACCAATGCAGTGACGGTGGAAAAAAAACGTGACTTGGAAAAAATTTAACAATTTAGAAATAAAAATTAAAGAATTGGAATTTACTTCTAAAGCAAATAAAAAGTAAAATAATTATAGTGTAAATCTGATATAAACTACAATATAAAGATGTTTGTTTGTTTGTTTGAACGCGTTAACATCAGGAACTGCTGAACTGAATTGAAATATTCTTTTTATGTTGGGTTAGCCATAATTCTAGGAAGGCTTTAGCGTACAATAATTGTTCGTTTTAAGTTCCAGGTGTGTTAGTTTTCCCATTAGTTGATGGAAAACAGATTTTGAAATCCTGTAGCGATCCTTAAATTCTTCATCATTGTAATGAATTACAGGATTTATTCGTTTCTGGAACTGGCGAGTTGGTGCCAGGTCTTCCTCGTCACTAGATAGGGATATATCGTCAACAGATAAATCTGTCAACATTTTTTATTACCACTACAACAATCCTCTGACCAAAATATCAGTAAAATTTCTTTTGACAGTCTGTTAATTGATCAATTTTCACCAATTACTTATTAAAACACAACAAAACGTTAACATGCAGTTAACATACAAAAAACTTTCCGGAAACCAAAAACTACCGCAATCGGCCATTAATTCGAGATTTGACATTTGCAACAACAAATCATTGACAAACTGTCACTTGGCTCATTGAGAAACCCAAAGTGCATTTAAATAGAGATTAACAATTTGTTACGTAATTTTTTCGATGACATGCGTTTCAGAAACCGGGTGTTAACGTCGCATTCTGTGGGTGATGCAGGCAAGCAACTTATAAATTCGATCACTAATTTAATCAACTTTATGTATTCCGGTAATGTCAATCAAAAAATTGTTCCCATTCTTTTCGGCGCGAACCTCATTGCCCTCACCAAAAAGGACGGAGGGGTGAGACCAATTGCTGTTGGATCAACACTACGACGTCTGGCCTCCAAAATTGCTGTTCGACATATTTTACCAAAATTAAATTCGGAATTTGAACCCGTACAGTTAGGCTTTGGTGTAAAAGGAGGGTGTGAGGCAGCCGTCCATGCCCTACGCTCTTTCTTAACTTACGGACAGCCTGACGTGTTGCTCAAAATTGATGTCAAAAATGCATTCAATTCGGTAAATAGGGATACCCTGCTGACGGAAATAAAACAACATATACCGGAAATATACAATTATCTTCTTCTCAGTTACGCTGACCCAACAAAATTGTTATATCGTTCTAATGAACTGTCCTCGGAAGTAGGTTGTCAACAGGGTGATCCCCTTGGGCCTGCAATTTTTAGTTTGGCTATAAATCCGATAATAAAAAAATTAAATTCTAAATTCAACGTTTGGTACTTGGACGACGGAACCCTAGGAGGTGATGTGGATACTGTGTTTTCGGACCTTTTTTTAATCAAAAACAAATTTGAAGCCATCGGTTTGGAGCTTAATTTTAGCAAATGCGAACTTTTTATAAATAACTGTGACTTAAATTTAAATGACGTTAAACAAAAATTTAATATTTTGGCTCCAAATAATAAAATGAATCTATTTCTGAATATTTTAATAATTCAATTAATAAATTCCAAAATTCCGCTGACCGTCTCCTTGAAATTAGTCCACATTATGCACTTTGCATCTTAAAATTCTGTCTTTTTGTCCCAAAATTAACGTATGTCCTCCGTTGCTGCTCCTTTTGGAATCATCCAGATCTTTTGGCACAAGTAGACGGCTTAATCAAAAATAACTTAGAATCAATTCTTAATATGCAGCTTAACGAGCAATCTTGGACCCAAGCATCCCTACCCATCCGTTATGGTGGTTTAGGGATTCGCAAAATTTCCAGTGTCGCTTTACCAGCCTTCCTATCTTCTGTCCATAGTTCAGCAAATCTCATAAGTAAAATTTTAAGGGCATCCCCTTCAAACTTTGAGATTGCTGGCTTGGAAGAAGCTAGAAACGCTTTCTTAATTGCATGCCCAGGTCAAAATTTTCCAGTTTCTCCAAATTCACAGAGGAGCTGGGATGACATAAACTGTAAATTGACATATGATAACCTTTTGAGCTGTAGTACAGGTTCGGCGTGTGCTAGGCTTTTGGCCGTGGGTGCGCACGAGGCCGGCTACTGGCTTCACGCGTACCCCTCGTCAAATACAGGAACATTTCTTGAGCCTGACACGCTCCGAATCGCAACCTGTCTACGGCTTGGGGTCCCGGTCTGCGCTCCTCATAAATGTCCCTGTGGCAGTGATGTCGACAAGCTAGGACATCACGGACTGTCTTGCCAAAAAAGTGCAGGCCGCTTCTCGAGACACGCCGCACTTAACGATATCATACGCCGGTCCCTTGCCACCGTCAATGTGCCAAGTCTACTTGAGCCAACTGGTATTGCAAGAGACGATGGCAAAAGACCGGACGGTATGAGTTTGATTCCATGGAAGATGGGTCGGGTGCTAGTATGGGATGCAACCTGTTCAGACACGCTGGCCCCTTCCCATCTACATGGAACCAACAACAGAGCTGGTGCGACTTGTGAAGGTGCTGAAAAAGCTAAGGCAGGCAAATACAGGGGTCTAGGCTCCGAATATGATTTTGTCCCATTCGGTGTCGAGACCCTTGGTCCGTGGGGTCCTAGCGCTTTAAGGCTATTTAAGGAAATAGCAAAAAGGTTAGTCGACGTCACAGGAGACCGAAGAGCTGGCAGCTACCTTGGACAAAGAATTAGTCTAGCCATTCAAAGAGGTAACGCTGCCAGTATCTTCGGTTCCTTGCCTAAAGGGACTCCTTTTAATAATATATTTTAGTTATTAATTTTATGTTTTTAAGGTTTTTTAATTTTAGTTTTATTATTCTAGTATTTATATTTTACTTATATATAGTAATTATGTAATTAGATAGAGACTTATTTGTTTATAGTTAGTGTATTTTATAGTTTTATGATGTGAAATTGTTAATGTTAGTTGTATTTTATTGTTATATCTTCTTAAAATGGTAATGTGTATTTTTACAGGCTCTCAATCAGGGAATATTTTCATTACGATGACAGATCTTAGTCAAATTAAAATATTACTGTGAGAGCAATAAAAATATTTCTATTCTATTCTAAATTACTCTTAAAATTATTCATCCAATGTATTTAGGAGCACGCTTATTCTCCTCTGAGTAATATATTGAAATTGTATACTGTAATTAGTTTTATATGAATAACGTCTCTTCTTTAGGTGCTGGTTCAAAAGACACCTCACATGATAGCTCACGGCGAAAGAGTGAGACTCTTCAGACGCGCTGTGGCTGACGAAAAGGTAAGTTCCTCAATCAAATTCATGTGTTATAGTAATATTATGTTTTTAAATGAAAATTGTTCATACCAATATTATAAGTAAGAAAGTGTGTCTGTCAGTTACTACTTCACGACTCTAAACTGCTGAACCGATTCGGATGGGATATGGTATAGAGATGGTTTGACGCTAGCTAGCCGCGTCGTCCAATTATAGCTCAAAGGTTGCGTGTGCTCTGTGAACTTACAATCAACAAATAAGAAATAATTTGGAATACTAACTATGCTAAAAAGTGGTTCCACGCATACTACAATCACGTGAGCGGGGCGAAAAAAGTGCGATCAACACGCCGATCTTGGGATTGGTTGGGATTTCCGTTTAACATTATCTTAACCGAATTCATTTGCAGATATTTTATTTGTCAAAGTATTTTGTTTTGTCTGCGTGCGTGTCGTGTTAGTTAGTACTGAAGGTTAACTGTATGAATTTGGAACCATGTTTTTGCGGCCTTTGTTAGAAAATAATGCTACCATACCATTTCTAATTCGGCGGCTATTGCAGCGATCGCTAGACGCGAGTGACACAGCTACGTAGCTCTGTGTACTCACAGTATAATGCGTGATGCAGATGGTGTTAGGTCTCGTAGAGGACAGGTACAGACAGCTGGCCGCATTGCTCTGTGTACTCACAGTACAGTGCGTGATGCAGATGGTGTTAGGTCTCGTAGAGGATGTGTACAGACAGCTGGCCGCATTGCTCTGTGTACTCACAGTACAGTGCGTGATGCAGGTAGTTTTAGGTCTCGTAGAGGATGGATGCAGACAGCTGGCCGCATTGCTCTGTGTACTCACAGTACAGTGCGTGATGCAGATGGTGTTAGTTCTCGTAGAGTCCGGGTACAGACAGCTGTTCCCTTACCACGAACCTATATCGAATTCGTAACGTTTTCGAATAAGAAATTTCATTGTCAAATGTGTACAGATTTTTAGTTCTCATTACGTCCTTCGTGGCGCTGCGGTTCAAGTTTCCATACAAAATTTGACATTGACATTTTGGACTCGCAAACTATTCGAATTCGATATTAGTTCGTGCTAGGGGTACTGGCCGCATTGCTCTGTGTACTCACAGTATAATGCGTCATACAGGTGGTGTTAGGTCTAACGGAGCGCGCTTGCGGTGGTCGCTCGACGCTAGTGACGGTCCGTCGTGCGCGTCTCGTAGAGGACGGGTACAGACAGCTGGCCGCGTTGCCGAGTCGCGCGCTCAAAGGATGCGTGCGTGTACGATTCATCAACGAACAGGGGCTGGACGAAGCCGGCATCGACCAGGATGGCGTCTTTAAAGGTGAGTATTAAGAATCTTTATTGTCATCATCATCACCAGCCTGTTAATGCCCCCACTGCTGGGGCAGAGTCCTGCCTTATGGATAGAATAAGGAGATTGGCCCATAACGATTGGTGGGTGATGCCTGGACCAATGGCTTAATTTGCCTTCCGAAGCACGGAAGAGCTCAAGGTAATAAACTTGTGGTCACTCATCCAATGACTGACCATTCCGAAAGTTGCTTGACTTCTACGATCGCAGGCCGAATGCGCTATCGAGTTTCATTCTTTATGTAACGATGTTAAAACTAATACAATCAATAGCATTCCATTTTAAAATAAATGAATTAATTGGTAACGTCCGGCTCGAAGGACCAATATAACGGTGGCCATACACATACATAGCCATGTGTCTGTGTGTAAGATGGGACTTGGAAATTGTCAATACTGATTCTTGTGTCAAATAGGAATTACCGCAAGTTATCTTGGAACGTGTGTGGCAGTCAAGGACATTAAACTATACTATAGACAGACCTTCAGGAACAAATTTGTAATCTAAAATCTGTTATCACCTAACAAGTCCAACAAATACCTAGTACAGCAACGCTTAAACTCATTTAAGATATTTTTTTTTACAAAAACGATTCCCCGATCTTAGTGGATTTTTTTAAATTATGTATTTTATTCCTTACTATATTTCTTTCAGAATTCCTCGAGGAGACGATAAAGCGGGTATTTGACCCGTCTCTAAACCTGTTTCGTGTGACGAGCGAGGAGCGTTTGTACCCATCGCCCACGTCTTGTCTGCAGGAGAATCACCTGCAGCTATTCGAATTCATCGGCCGGATGCTCGGCAAAGCCGTCTATGAGGTTGGTTTTCTATTATCATGAATCTATATTTAAGTCCCCGCCGTAAGCTAAGTGTGGATTTATTAATGTGACCAGTCTTTTAAGTAGCAGAAATCAGTATTTTGAATACGACTGTGATAAGGTGCAGGATACCATGATATTATTATCACCGTCGAGTATGTGATGTGTATGGCTATATTTGGTTATTTATGCGCCAAGATAAAGCAATCTAAAATAACCGCCGCAAGAAAATGGCTCATGTTTCGCGCCTGATTCTTTATTTCAGGTTGTGCTAAAGCGGACAACGTGTTTGTGTGTAGCGACATATCTACCATAAGATTTTCTTAAATCAGACCAATAGTTCCTGAGATTAGCGCGTTCAACCAAACAAATAAATAATCAAACAAACTCTTCAGCTTTATAATGGTGTCGATTGTAACACTCACTCACTCAAGCTTAAATTTGACAACAGGGTATCCTTGTCAATTTCTATATAGGATGAAAAGGAGAGACTGATGTTAAATTCAGTTTGAAGTTTAGAATTGAAGCATGCCAAAGTCGACACCAGTATCTCTACTTATATTATAAAGAAGAAAGATTTTATTGTTTGTTTGTATTAAATAGGCCGAAACTACTGGACCGATTCCAAAAATTCTTTCACATTTAGAATCCTTCGTTATCCGTGATGAACATAATAGGTTACAGAGTATTTTCAAAAAAGTTAGGGTTCCTTATGAAAACTTCGATAGTGTAGCACCAACGTATTAAAAAAATACCGAAAAATTACCTTATGTCGCGTATGCTGCGGTAATCATAGACAATAGAGTAAAGTGATGTACTAAAGTTTTATAGAGGACATCAATATCTACAAAAAAGTCCGCGATACCATATGTGTAACTATCACAGTTATTTCACAACTAGAGGTCCCCTGCAGTTACACCCGCGTTAATTTGAAGAAATAGGTTATAGTGAATCACACTTCAAATATGGACATATATTTGCTGACGCGGACTTTTTTACAGAACTTCTAAAGGGGAACAATTCCGTTTTAATTTTTTAAATGGGAACAGCAGGGCAATGGTTCATTCGGTAAAACAGGTCCTAAACTACGCAACATTGTTTTTACGTGGAATGGAAGGTTTATAATTATTATGAAGAAAGTCATTGTGTATAATACAGGCCTTTGAACAGAAACTATAGTCTCCACTACAGCTCTACATCGAAGCGAAGCGAGGGCGGGCCATCAGTAGATATATAGATAGCTAGTATAGATTTTTCGATGCATCCTTACGCAGGGTATCGTGGTAGACGTGCCGTTTGCGTCGTTCTTCCTCAGCCAAGTGCTGGGACAAACGCAGCAAGCGCTGTACAGCTGGATCGATGAGCTACCCTCGCTTGACCGCGACTTGTACCGCAGTCTTACTTATATCAAGCACTTCCAGGTGAGGTTGAAGAACATCAGCCTATTAATTTAATTTAATATCATTAAGCCTGCGCACACGTACGATTTCCTGATCCGGAAACCTTCACGACCTTACATACAAAATGTTCAGCGAGGCGCATACTATTATATTATGTTCAGAACGGAAAAATCTAACGTTTGGTACTCTAACTAATAAAAAATAGCTAAACGTCTGCGCAGGGCTTACGGAATTCCGTATCCAAAACCGAATCAGGAAACCGTACGTGTGCCCCCAGTCTTATTCAGTCAAGGCTGCACTTGTGAATGTCGAAAAGCTACGCCATCGGTTCGTAAATCTACAGTGGGAGACTTTGTAATGAGAAGAACCGGCAAGAAACTGAGCAAAAGCTGCTGTCCTCACTGCTGGGGGCACAGGACTTCCAAATGGATGGAACAAGGAGAATGGGCTATGACCCACCACATGGGTACTATTGGCGGCTGCTTAAGACTGCCTATGCAGCCGGGACCAACGGCTTAACGTGCCTTCCTAAGCATGGAGGTGCTAGAGATCGTAAATTTTGGTCACCCATCCAATGACCGACCATTGCGAAAGTTGAAGTTTGAAGATGCGCCCTAGATTAAATCCATATAGAAAGATACAACATGCTTTTACTAACATCATATAAAGTTTTTTCCCTTTATAGAACAAAAATCTAAAATACTTTAGTACCATATTAAATAATAATCTCATTATTGCAGGGAGATATATCTTCTTTAGAGCTCACATTTTCAGTGGACGAAGAACGATTAGGGGAAATAGTCACACACGAACTCGTGCCAGGCGGGAAGGCCATTCCAGTCACTAATGAAAACAAGTAAGTGTCCAATTATTTCTGAGTTAAATGCTGAGGCAGAAGCACGAATTTAAACAACTCCGTAATCTTATCGGTGTCAAATTTTGTATGGAAGGACTCAGTTTCTTCTTACGTCCGCTAGGGGCGCACAATGAATTGACAGTAAAAACCTTAAACAAAACTTCTGTCGTCGTCATCAGCCTATTAATTCCCCCACTGATGGGGCACAGTTTTACCGTATGGAATAGAGAAAATGGGCCATTACTATGCTAAGGAATATTTACTGAAAATGGTTTGTAAAAAAGTAAAATTTTGTAATGGCGAGTAAAAGAATAATTCGCCTAACATACCTCGCGTTCAGTTTCTTTAATATTGTTATTACCAATGCAAAAAGAGCGCCAAAGCAATTCCGAGAGGCGAAAGGCTCCCGGGTCTGCGTTACAGGCGTATATTGGTGTATGGTGTCATATTTATTCATCAAAATATTACCACTAATAAAATAGGCGCTTAAACATCAATGAGGGCTACCGTCTTTTGTCTCACCAGATGCCGCCGCTGTTGAGTGAAGTCTTGAAGTGTAGCTTTTAAAGTTTGTTAATCATCGTCATCATCACCAGCCTATTAATATCCCCACTGCTGGGGCACAGTCCTTCCTTAGGATGGAATAGGGAGATTGGGCCATGACCCACCATGTAGGCCCAGTGCGGATTGGTGGGTGCTAACGACTGCAGATGCAGCCGGGACCAACGGCTTAACGTGCCTTCCGAAGCACGGAGGAGCTCGAGATAGTAAATTTTTGGTCACCCATCCAATGACCGACCACTGCGAAAGTTGCTTAAATTCAACGATCGCAGCCGAATGCGCTAAACACCTGTGCCATCGAGCTCCTCAAGTTTGTTAATACGCGCATGAAATCAAAGTTTACATTAAAAATCATATTTTAATACAAAAGAACCGTATCGTATCGTAAACGTAATTGGTCATGCCACAATGTTGCGCAGTTGCGTTTTGTTCGGAATAAAAGGAGTACATAATATTTTTCTTAGCTCCTCCTTTAAATCACCGTCATTCATTGACACGTAACTCAATTTGCCATAATTAATCGGAGTTATTACATAATCTTAACATCATTTCAATAAGAAATAAACCCGCATAGTCAACTCACAAGCAAAATCATTTTTCATTTTGGAGACCTCACGCTACACAAGCGCCTCTAGCGGCGGATTCATATGCGATAGCCCTCATTAATGACTACATCCTTTTAAAGTACAGTTAAAGGTAAAACAAATAAATTGTTTCAGGATAAATTACATACACTTGATGGCGCACTTCAGAATGCACACGCAAATAAAGGACCAAACAAACGCTTTCATTAAGGGTTTCCGAACTATTATAAATCCAGAGTGGTTGTCGCTGTTTTCAACACCTGAGGTAATGTTAAATAATTTTCTAGAAATATCATCAACATCAGCCTATTAATGTCCCCACTGCTAGGGCACAGGCCTTCCCTACGGATGGAATACGGAGATTGACCATCCCAACACGTGGGCCTAGTGCGGATTGAAGGGTGCTAGCGAATTTGAAACAACAGCTTTACGTGCCTTTTGAAGCACGAAGGAGCTCAAATATTAAATATTTGCCAAATATTATTTGGTCACCCATCTTAGGCTGCTTTTCCACTAGAGATGTGCTATGCTACGTTGCTGTAGATGCGTTTGATATCCGCCAATCATATTCATTGGTCCACATAGCATAGCACTGGTGGAAACAGGTTCAACTAAGCTGTTTTTATATGGAAGGATGCGTGCTATGGATGCAGGCTATGATGATCGCGAGTGGTGTAGCTATATCAAGAGAAGTGTGTCCGCGTTTGTCACTGAAAGTGGACATGCTATCGTGGAAGCAAAAAGTTATTTTGCGCATCTTCCTCGCGCAGCTACTTTGTGGCGGCGCATCTTCATAGCACATCTTACTCGCCCCGATACATAGCTTAGCATCAGTGGAAACAGTTTCGTAGCTTAGCTGTCCTCGCAGCATAGCTGCATAGCACATCACTGGTGGAAAAGCAGCCTTAGACATCCATGATCGAGGACATTGATACGCTGTTAATAATGATGATCTTATTGATTAAGTAATTATTTTCTTGTGAATACGGTCATAAACATCAAGAATATAGTAAAGAAAGGATATAGTAAAAAAAACGCGCTTTATGACACGTTAAAAGTGGTTTTATTTGATGATTGGTGTGCGCACAAACATAAGAAATGAATATAAACGCGTAACAGAAATAACGCACACCTTGAAGTAGTTTGTTACAAATATGCAAATTAATCAATGTTAGTCATTTTTATTTAATCCAGTTTAACCAGTGATATTTCGATGTTCCAAAAACTATTTAATGTACCGTTGCATTTAGAAAATAGCTCTTATTACCTTGAATTATGTGTATCATATTCTTTTATTAAGAATGATTAAATTAAAGTCTATTATTTTTTCAAGATTTTTATTCTTTTTTTTTAAATCGTTTCCGAGGCCAATTCTAGCCAAACAACTATTAGGGTGTCCTTTATTGCTTTTGTTTAGAATGATTAAATTAAAGTCAATTATTTCTTCATATAAATATTTTTTATACTTATTTTATAGAAATCGATTCCGAAGTCAATTCCAGCCAAACAACTTTCAGGGTTATAATTTATAATTTTTATTTTTAAGCATGTAACTGATTGATGTTTAAATCTAAAGAAAATTTAACTAGAAAAAAATCCACGCGGACCAGTCAGCAGACGGGACTTACTTTTAGGGTGTTCTTTATTGCTGTTACACGTTGCATAATGGTGATTGCCCAACAGCTCCAAAGACTGATAAGCGGCGACAACGTACCGCTGGACCTGCGTGACCTGCGTCGTCACACCCAGTACTACGGCGGTTTCCACGACTCGCACCGCGTCGTGTGCTGGCTGTGGGATGTACTGCAACGAGACTTTACCGAAAACGAGCGAGCCATGTTCTTGAAGGTATGTGAAGCATTCATTATTAACCCCTTACACGAAATAGACATAACAGGAGGTAATCTCATGTATGTACTTCGCTCGGCCGTCGCGCTAGGATTTTCAACATTAAATAAATAAATATTTCCGACACTCACACCAATTAGCCTAGCCCCAAAGTAAGCACTATAAGGCTTGTGTTATGGGATGCTAGGGTAACGGATAGAATACATATACTGTACATATATAAGTATATTTGTATAAATACATATTAAACATCCATGACTGGAGTACAAATGCTCGTATTCATCACACAAACATCTGCCCTCACCGGGATTCGAACCCGGGACCTCTCGAGTCGGCGACAGCCATAAAACCCGGCGTACAAACCACTCGGCCACGGAGGTCGTAAATCGTCGTACGTCATTGTAGTGTAGTAGTGGCACTCTTAACTAGTTGTTTGATTTATTGTCGAGAATAAACGAAAATATAAACTTTATAAACGGACCATACATATACACCACCGACTCCAGTTTCATTCAATCCTCTCCATCCAAAGGTTGTCTGGAAGAAATCGCTTTTAGCGATAAGACCGCCCATTGAATCACTGTTTAAACATAATGTATTTACCCCATTTATGTACTGTACTGTGATGTTTTCAATAAAGAATTGTGTGTTGTATAGTATTGTATAAACCAATAATGACTAAAATATTTCAGTTTTAGGGTTGTTGTTATGTTACAAATTAGAAAACAATGAAAATTCACCGCCTAATATTGAATTCAAACAACTGTCTATATATATTAACTTGTTCTTTTGTTCCTCCATTTTGCACAAAAAATAGTTCACAGACGCGTTTTTTCAAGCAGAAAAAACTCGCGCTCGCAGTTGTCTGAAGTGGTTCGAGATGTCCGTGAGCGGTGTCTATGTGTGCGTTGCTCGTGTATACTTTGTACGTAGATTACCTTCTATTATGTCTATTTTGTGCCCCCGCCATGAGTTCCAAAGACTGATTCTTCTTCGGGACAACTAGCCTATCCCCAAAGTAAGCGCTGTAAGGCTTGTGTTATGGATACTAAGGTAACGGATATAATACATATATTGTACATATATAAGTATCTAATATATAAAATTCTCGTGTCGCGGTGTTTGTGGTTAAACTCCTCCGAAACGGCTTTCCCGATTCTCATGAAATTTTGTGTGCATATTGGGTATGTCTGAGAATCGGACAACATCTATTTTTCATCCCCCTAAATGTTAAGGGTAATCCACCCCTATTTTTTTTTCAATATTAGTTTTTTTTTTTTAATTTTTTATGCTACATCATACAAAAATACATACATCCCTAAATTTTCAACTTTCTACCACCAACCCCTATTTTTTTATGGCGGTACGAAGTTCGCTGGGTCAGCTAGTATTCATATAGAAATACATATTGAACATCCATGACTGGAATACAAGTGCTCGTATTCATTACACAAACATCTGCCCCCACCGAGATTCGCACCCAGGACCTCTAGAGTCGGCGACACCATGAAATCCGGCGTATAAACCACTCGGCCACGGAGGCCGTCCAGTATTTTTTTGACTTCACGCGTAATACTGAATACGCTATTAGTAATATAGCAGGTACGGCGTGCGAGGAAAAGAAACAGCTATACAACCGACCATGCATTTGAATATCACAAATATTTTCTGTTAAATCATTTTGTAGGAAGTATTAGAACAAAATTTACTTCAAATGCGTTAAATTAACAAACATTGATTAGATACCTGTCGAGAAAACGACACTTTACTAACTACAAGTTTTTTTTTCTCATTTGTTCTCGGAGCTCTGCGGCATCTTGACTTTCCAACGGTCTGCGCGTGACTGTGAACTAAGAAGTGTTTGAGTGGTGTTTTAGCACTTCTTGATTGGGACACATTTTGAGCGCACTTGGTATAACTAGGGTATTAAATATCGTTTTGTGATTGTTAGAAATTATTATCGAGGGAATTGTTTTGTTGTTTAGTTCGTAACGTCGTGCTCGAAACCACCAGTGCTCGGGTTCGCGCACCTCAAACCGCCATTTTCGATACGATGCGTGGAAGTCGGCGACGATGAAGACACCGGAGACACTATAGGTAAACAATCGATATAATTTTCAACACATTGGCTCAAAAATGCATTTACGGAGATGTTTGTATACATTGTTCAAAAGTTCAAAATTACTGGCCAGACAAAGGAGCGTGCGGTAAACATTTTACCGCATGCTCCCATCCATAGCGCCGTGCGTATCCTTTACTTGACATCTACACCGTGTGGTCAGAACAATAAATAATTTTGTTGCTCTAGAAAAAGACAACCTTAACAATGGCCTCTCTTCTTACTTTCCCTGTCACCTCAACTAAATAAAATATTCACTTAGTAATAACTTATATTAAAATCGTTCTTACTACACACCCCAGGCAGCGTGATCCGCGGCTTCTTCACAATCAGGAAGAAGGATCCGTTGAACCGACTGCCGACTTCTTCCACTTGCTTCAATCTCCTCAAGCTGCCCAACTACCAGAAGCGAAGCACGCTTCGGGACAAACTTCGCTACGCTGTCAACAGCAACACTGGCTTCGAACTGTCTTAAGTAAGCCAGCAGTAATATTAAACGGAAAAATCTTAAGGGGCTAATTTTATACCGGGATTTTTTTTTATGAGGTAGCCAAAAGGGCTTTTTATCCCCCTTATTTAATAAGCGAAGAATAAATTTGGATTAGTTACTCCATATGTTGTCTCTGTTCATTTAATGACAAATTGCATTTAAGTAATATGAACAAAACACAGCATAACTAGTCTAAGCCTATTTCTCGGTATAAGGGGTATATTATGTTTGGAAAGACAAATTAGGAAAATTTGAAAGAAACTATATAATTTATATATTTTATACTTCTCCAGCTGCCCAACTACCAAAATCGCAGCATTCTCCGAAAAAAATGCGAGTAACGAATGAGGACAGCACCCTAAGCACGAACTTTGATGGGACCATAATTGTATGGCCATCGTCAAAGTTTCTATGGAAACTAAACAGCGCCCCTGCCGGACGTAAGAACAAACTGTATCCTTCTGTAGAAACTTCGGCGATGGCGATACGATTACGGATCTCAAATTTCGTGATTAGAGTACTGATACTAGAGCTTGGAAATATTGAAAATTTACAATAATTTATTAAGCCAAATGAAAATATTATGTATGTAGAACGGACTTCACAAACCCAAATCAAACAATTCGTGTGCTCATGAATAACATCGTCGACCACAATTGTATAGACTGCTGTACTGAAAAGTACCATTTTATACTATACTTATTTATTAGAAGAACAAAAGGTACTATCCTTTATTTTATTTATTTTATATTTACTTAATATTTGCGAACTCCTTTAATTCCATCTAGTCCAGACTTTATCCATTATTGGACTTGATTTTTATCCCGATTCGCCAATGGTATTACAAAACAGTATAGTGGATTCTGGCACGGTTCTCTTAAACTTAAAGCTAAATTTAACATCACCCTCCACTTTTCGTTTTGCATAGAGAATGATAAGGATACACTGTTGTCAAATCTAAGTTTAGGTTTAGAGAATCTTGTCAGAATAGACACTACAAACGTCTTTCATTAAGTGACTTAAGCCAACACTTTCTAAAAGGCCTCTGCGAGCTGCGGGGAGCAGGATTTCCCTTACTATGGCTTGTTCTTCGAAACGAATAAGTACCGAGAAAATGCGCTTTGTCTATAAGTAATTGTTCAGAGTCGGTCGTTCATAGAACGAGGATTTTGCGATCCGTACTGTTCAGATCCATAGACAGACCATTAATCAATTAGTATATAGTTTTATTGATGTTATTATAATTTTTAGCAAGAAAGTGCATTTGAAGAATCGAACTAACTTTTTTTATCAATATTAAATTTGTGTATATGTAGATACTTATTTTGTTTTGCTATCTTACTTGTCGTTAACTGGTTCCGTGCCCAAGAACGAATTTTTGACTGCACCGTAAGTTGTCGTATCGCCAAAGTTTCTATTAAAAAAAACTAACAGCGCTCCTATCGGACGTAAGAACAGACTAGCTTTTCCGAGCTGTCAAAAATTCGTGCTTGTCCGATCCTCTACCCTTATCAATTGCAACTGTCTGTCAGAACAAGCTGTCTAACCGTCGTATTTAAAGAAAAGTCAAAGTTATTACTTCCGCTTAAAGTGTAAGTCATTACTTGAGCAACATTTTTTCATTTCAATATAAAAAAAATAAGGTAAGAAATGACAAAAATTACATTTCAATAGATACAATTTTCGTTGCTAATTGACCATTTGAGGGGTATACGATCAAAGTTGGTAAAGTCCACATTGCCAAAATGTTCAGTAAACGTTAAAAACGATTATTTTAATAATTACAGGTAACTATTCTAATTTTGAACATTATTTATATGCAGAATGTAATATATTATGGAAATACAAGTGTTCATCACGTTCACTTCAATATTTTTGAGTAAAACCTTAAGTATAAGATGGACTTTTCCAGTTTTGTTACCAAGTTTTGGACTTTACTAAGTTTGTGACTGTAACACAACAAAAGAGCATTACAACATCAAAGGACGCCATGACAGCTGTCAGTGAAATGGAGGAAATGGAGCCTTCCTATGGGTGGAAAACGACTTTACGCAAATTGAAACTCATCTCACTTGGACTTTGCTACATTTGTTTGTAGAGTCAATTTTCAATTTGAAATAACAGTCGAGATTTCTAGAATTTGTATAAAATTATTCTACGGTATAAAAATAGATACGGAAATGAATGTGTTGTAATTTAAATCTCACTTTTTAAATTTTCTGGACGTTTAACTTTGGCTGTATACCCCTGATTTGTTTTATTGAAGAATTCTTGTGTCAAGACTTGATTACTTAGCAACAAAGTAATTACTTACCAACAAGTGATTACTTGCTGTTTATAAATACGAGAGGAAAAGCTCGTTCTCATAAGGTTAGTAAGAGAAACCCTGTCCCCCGCACAATCTATATACCGGCTGTTCAAAGCAATGAAACAAAATGGGATATTGCGAACGAAAGAAATGAAATAATCGCATTTTTTATCAAAATTTGTATCATAAATATTAGTCAATGGTTATAAAAGTTTGTTAATTACTTTTTTCAATAACTTTGAACAATAAGCGTTGTTTAACTTTTATTTTAACTTTTGTACAACGTTACTTGGAATTGCAGAATACCCTATCATGAGATCCCGTTTTAATGTATTTTTTATCAATGCAATTTTTTTTAGTATGTTATATCGTTGCAAATGAAGGATGTTGATAATTTTGATTTGAAGCAAATATCTAAGATGTATTTCGTGTTCTACTGATAAGCAACATCTACCAGTTAATTAAAAATCGAACTCAAAACAAAACGAAGTAAGTAGTACATATACAGAGAGATAAATAATGATGACCAGACACGTAGCCATTACAAAGTAAACTTATTAATCGTTTGAAAACATAAGTACGTCTTGCCAAGGCTTATGGTTAAATTTTGTTGTATGCAGTAAATGCATATATATATATATTGCTACGTATATGACTAACAGAAGGGTGTACTATCAGTAACGAGTAAAACTAATGTTTATATTATACACTGTGAATTTTCAGTTACCTGAGAATTTTTTTTAGTAAATTCAGACAAAGATTAAAGTTATCTTACCCCATTTTTTTGTTTTGTTTTTTTGAAAAGGTTACCATGTTAACTTAATAATTGTGCAATCACAAAACTTAACCAATTATAGTTGTCATAAAATTCACTTAAAAAAACCTTCTTTAGGGATCGTAATTTAGACAGATAATAATTTCATATTATGTATGTTATAACAAATGTGCGCCGTTTATAAAATATTTTGTAAACTTTTTAAATCAATATTTTTGTATGGAGGTAGTACATTTAATGTTTATAACTGTCCTCATTACTTTTATTATACATTTTTTTTAAGTTTCTCCGGTAACTCAACATTCACCGTGTATAATTATGTGATTGCAAAATTTATTAAAGAAGTAAATTTAAAAAATATCGCGGTTGAGATTTATCATAGGAGACTTCTACTACATTTTCTGGTGACTTAAGCTCCTTAGCGACCATTGAACTCGAACAAAGCTTAGTGCTACATTCGGTTATTTAACAGTAATAATACTATAGTATTATAGAAGAAGAAAAATCTACTATTCTCCTCGCTCCTACATCCGTCACTGTCTATATACTCGTGCATGAGTTACATGAGCTGCGTTCGGTATTTGCATCGTAGAGACGACGCATTTTCGATCATTTTCGACAGATTAATCTGAGGAAATTGCTGTTACCGAACTGCCCGACCAACCGTTGATTAATTTCTAACCTCAAACAGAAACTCACCTCGCAACATGACAGATAACCAGATCAATCTTTCTCGTCGGTCGAAATTCTCCGCGCAAACAGATTTACATCGGCCATAAATTTCGGAATTACTGAACGGTTCAGATTGCATCATCATCATCAGCCTATTAATGTCCCCACTTCTGAGGCACAGGCCTTCCCAATCGATTGCATAGCGAGATTGGCCCATGACCCACTACGTTAGCCCACTGCGGATTGGCGGCTGCTAACGACTGCAGAGTTAACCGGGATCAACGGCTTAAAGTTCCGAAGCACGGAGGAACTCGAGATAGAAGATTTTTGGTCACCCATCCAATGACCGACCATTGCGAAAGTTGCTTAACATCAACGATCGCAGCCGAACGCGCTAGCCACCTGCGCAATCGAGCTCAATCGGTTCATATTTACTCTAGATATAATAAACGAACGACACTAACTAAATTCATTAATCAGACGCAAATAACGAACGCAGCTATGGATTTCGATGAGCTTTTCTTGCGAGATGAAAATTTATATAGATCTGCGCCATTTCGGCCTTAAGGTCTTAACAGAACAATAAAGGTGAAAAAGTATTTAATGTCTCTCAATACTTTGAAAAAAAGAACTTGTGTTGAAAATAGTGAAACCAAAATGTAAATTAATTGTAATGAAATCTTTGTACAGATATATAAATAATTGTGATGTGTGAATTGTAGTGAGCTAGTAATAATGTATGGTCGTCACTACTTTAGTCAGTCACGTGTACGGTTTGAACTTAGATTAAAACAAAAAGGGAAGACGGCACTCGCGGCTCAAAAGTGATCCTCTTAAATTGTGTGCATGACTACAATTCGCTTTAGTCACTATTAGACATTGACCCCCTGCATGTGCACTCAATATAACAATATTATAAAGATTGAACATGCCTTCGATCCTTTTATAAATAACACAAATAGTTTAAGATCAAATAAGAAAAAAAAAAAAAATTCACGGCAACACTTTTCATTCGTAAAACTATGTTTTTTTTTTAATTCACGGTTTGTCGTGATTGTTATTTACTTTTTCGCCATTTGTTATTAAGAAAAGGACAACAATACAGCTCAGCCGTTGTAGAGAGAGAAAAGAAAATGCAGTTGCGAAGCTAAGCGACGCGTACTCGCCGTTTCGCTCGCGCTGCGTTGAAGCGTATAGTTCTGTCTCGCTCGCTCGATTGAATGTTTATTTACAGAAGTGTGCGTGCGTGAGAGTTGCTTATGTAGTTGATTCGGAGCATATTTTATTGATACATGCATTAGCGTACCGTATCTTCCCTTTTTGTTTTAATCTACGGGTTTGAAGCATACTTAAGTTAATGTATGCCCAGAGTGTGTTAGTAACTCAACTGCGTTTACGTAAAACTATATCTTACATTGTGGAATTATCGTTGTAGGACATAACAGCGTTTTCATCAACGAATTAGTAATTATATGGAAGCATAACTCTCCAAATAAAGGCTGGCTGGGCGTGGTTCCAAACTCATACAACTAAAACTTCAATACTTACGCGACACGCACGCAGACAAAACAAAATATTCTGACGAATATAATATCTGCAAATGTATTTAGCTATCCATTCATTATTGGATAAGGCAATATTAAACGGAAATCCCAGCCAATCCCGGCACACAGTTTTTTCGCTCCGCCCACTTATTCGCGGTTTGCGTGGAACCACTTTTTAGCGCAGTTGGTTCTCCCTCAATATCGTATTGGTTAGCGCTTTCAAACTTCTGTTTAATTAGTTCAACTACTTTTATTAATGCAATTCATCAGATGGATAACTAAGTTTTTTATCACAATTTCATCCGTTCTTCAAAAGACACGTTAAATATTTAACACCTCCCATTGCGATTCTGAATATAGGTTGATGATGACTGTATTTTTCACTAGATGACGCTTCTCGTATACCCAATGTATTATCGGTTACGTGAATGCGATTGCGTTAATTTAAAACACGCACTGGGTACTCTGTTTGCATTGCACATGAGTGTGATAAATTCACTTTTAATACACCGTTCGCAATTTATTAAATCAATCACATCTTTTGTAAATATTTATTCTCTGTTAAGAATAATGAGTGTGATATTGGTCATATTGGCGTGGTTGATTAGAATCGTATAATTTTGAAAATCTGAAGAATTTTTGGGTCATTTATTTAAAAAGTATTAGTAACCAGCATATGTTACTTAAACTGCGGAAATAGGTACAATCGATAAAATTGTGTTCTCACACGTCTGTTGAGATATTGCTTTTAAACAGCTTTTGTTGTTTATGATCTAACTTTAAAATACAGAGCATGCGTGAGTCTACGGGGCGGAGAAGTATTTTCAGACAACAATGCAAACCAATATAAAATTTAAAGTCGCTTAAACATCTAAGAGACCGCTCACATAATCAGAGATAATTATTTAGTTTTGCACAATATTGTGTTTGCATATAGTTCATTATTCAGTGTTACCCGTAATGCTCTGCTCCGATCAACCCTAAAAAGAACCACAGGGCTGCCTACAACTACTGTAAACTACTTTGTTTTCTTGCAACTACGATTTCTACAAAATGCTAGGAAACCAACACACAAAAACTGTTGTGCTTTTGAATTGAAAATTCATCCTAAGGGGTAGGCCAAACGAGTGTAATTTTTTGAGTTGAGAGTCGTTGAAAGCGAGTTATCGAAAATGAGCTGAATTCGTTTTCATATAAAAGTCTTATTCTTGCCACACGACAGCGAGACAAAATGTACGCTTTCAGCTACTCAAAAACCTAACGCGTGTTTCGCCAAACCCCAAAAATATTTTTTGAGCGAGCTATACCGCCAAAACTTAATCTACTAAATGAAATAGTTTATTAACAATTATAATATAATGTTTTACCGATAATTATAGTACGAACGTGTGTATTTCTAATGATGTATTATGTAATTCTGAAACGAACCGTAAATGGTTCGATCCAGTCCAACATATAAATAGATGTGTATATAGACAATAACGTGTTAATTCATTATACGAACATTGAATTTATTTATTACCCATTTTATGTATAGTACAAACCTTTCCTCTTGTTATTTTCATATGAGTATAATTATTATTATTATGGAAATATAGTCGAATTATTTTAAGATTTTTCTTAATTTGGCCGTTATTAATAATGTAAAATTTCTTTTATGCAGTCATGTAGTTTTAGTATTCATTCTTAATTAAATTTTAATAGCTTTCTGTTCACTAGTATTTTAAGGTGGTTTCTAGAAAATTCATGAATTACGTTCTCAATATGAATTTAAATGTACAGGTACTTTATAACGCTTTAGTTTCGGATGTTAAGGGTTGATTTGCACTATGTATTGAAGCCTATCTCTTTTTTCTCACTTGAGCTTGCAAAAATTCTTTTCAAATCTTGAAGTGACGGAGAAATGTTTGATAGTGTGAAAATAACAGATTTTTTTATTGATCGATGCATTGCGTATATAACACAATAGTCTACTTCTTACCAAAGTACCAATATAATAATTTGGCAATAACAATAAAAAAATGTTGCAATAATTTGTTTTACCTTGCCTAATCAACAAATATTTTCATTATTAAAGATTTCATTTTGTTACTGCTTATGCAATTTCATTTAATCTTTATGTCAACAATATTTATATAGTTGTACTACAAAACTGTGATTAAAGTTAGACACACAGTCTGGAATTATAACTGTCCTTACTCAACTTTATTGAATTTGAAATGATAGCATTCCCCTCGTGCTAGATAAGATAAATCCTCAAGTATTTTCAAGCTGCTAACATTCAATGTGGCCTAACTCAGAAACGACTACTAAATTTAAATATTCTCGCAAAGGAACCAACAGTATAAATTTTATTATAATCAGATTTAAAAAAAATAACGAAACTGACAACTATTGAGTTGCGACTGATACTTTTGTAAAAGTTTAGCAGAAAACTTATGGAATTTTAGTCACCATACTAATCGAACAAAAATATGGACAAAAGCAATACCCCATGTGGTATTGTTAAGGTGTAGTTATGGGAGTGACAATTTTTAATATATATATAAATACTTTGTCTCTGTCATGAAGACACTATTAAACATCAGTTTTAGACACTGTTTAACTTTAGTCAGGCTTTTGCAATAAGTACTATGTTTATAATTGTAGGATTTAACTTGTACACTGTATTTACCTGTTGATCAGTAATAATATTTTGTAGTAGTGTTTTCGTTTTTATTATCCATAACTTGTGAGTATTTACTGTGAAATTTTACATATAAACATGGATCATTGTGAAAAATATTTTGTACTAGCCACGTAAATATGTTGTATAACACAATGTGATTCTCTGTGATAAAATAATTGATATTTATTTACATGTTGTTTTATTGAATTATTTCCTGCCTGTCTAATGTAATAAAGGAAAAATAGCATCATTTTAATATTGTGCAATATATTTTTATTGAAGAAATCTTTCGGTCTAGTGTCCTCTTTTACATGAAACTCTGGCATGGTGTTCGAAACCGCTGTATTGCCAATATTTATTATTAAATATCCCTAGTACTTTTGTGAAACTTGAGAAAATGAAGGATAATTATGATAAGGAGCTCGATGGCGCAAGTGGTTGTTCAACTCTCGCATTGGCCGATAGTCAGATTAAGCTGGTCCCGGCTGCTTCTGCAGTCGTTAGCACCCACCAATCCGCACTGGGCCCGCGTGGTGGTTACAATTTTATTTGAAAGTTGGTCATGCATGACCCTTTTGCATATATCTAATTTTCGAGGAGGAACTTGTCGAGAGCCAAATCTCGATTTTTTACAATTTTACACGCATTTTTCACCGTTCACTACTGTTATCCCTATCGCACGGTATTTGCAAATGCGTGACAGCAATAGTTTTTTCAAATACCTATTACAGTCCATTCATAAGTAGAGTCTGAGCGGAAAGTGAATGGGATTTAGATTGGAGGGCGCTGTAGTGCTTTTCTACCGTATTTGTAAGGTTTTACCCCTTTTAGACATGATTAAATACAAAAACCGCAAGAAATCACAACAACAAACAAATCCGTATCAATACAAAACTTTGCCGTTTTACAAATTGCTGGGTTTGATTACCAAATAAAAATCTTAATGTTAGTTCCGTTTTTCGCCACGCCCATTCTCTTTCCGCACAGACTATCTGAATATAATGCTGACGAAGTTACGGGCGGAAGCTATTATTGAGTGTACTTTGTTTGTACCAACCAGGCGTTATAGTTAGATTTTTCAGAATCCTACTCTAATCCCCCGAAATCTAACATTATCGTATGTGTCAATCTAGATAATAAACTACTTAAGTGCCAAATTTATTTCAAATCCGTTTAGCTATTTACGTTATTAATTGTTTATTAGTACGACGGATGTAGAAATTTGTGTTTTCAGAAGTTAATAAACCAATTTCTCAAAAACTGCTGTATAAAATCTGTCACACAGGTAGACTTAAGCGTTATTATTGATAAACGAAGAATGAGCTTGGATTAGTTATTCCATGTTATTGATCTGTACATTCAATGACAAATGGCATTTGAATGACGTGAACATAACACGGCTTAACTAGTCTTAACTTAATCCTTGTTTATTAATAAGGGGCTAGTAGTTTATCAACTGGATTAGGACTTTTAAAAAAACAATGTTTCGCACAACTTAATGTAACAGGTGTTATTATTAACAGGCTAAAAAAGGGATGTTCTGAGTTTTTACTATGACTGATTTGATTGATGGTGGTCCACTCACATTACAC